CATTTCAAAGTTCTTTACTTTGACTTGAGTAAAGAAGTTTAGTCAGTACTTCTACTTTCACCAGAGTATGTTTAAACACGAGTATCTGTACTTCTACCTGAGTAAAGGATGTGTGACCCTCTTTGATCAAATGCATCCCCTCAGCTCCAAGACGTAACATGTTCACGACTCTTTCCCGTACATCTGATCTGAGATAACACTCGTCTAAATAACAGCCTCTCATACTTTGCTTCATAAAGCTTTACTTTCATTTCTATTCATCCACATTGACACAAAAGCTCCTTCATGGTGTTTGCTGCCGGTGTGTTTCTGGATGCTGAGATGTTCCCAGCTAGTTGTTTGCAGACGCCTGAAGGCAGCGTGTTGTCCCCCCCGCTCTGAACACTCTGCTCCCTCTCTCCCCTCTGCAGGCTGAACGTCATCTTCAGCAGATTTGATGAAGTGCAGCGGTCGGGCAACATGGTGCTGTCTCCTCTGTCCGGTGAGATGTGTGTGTGTGTGTGTGTGTGTGTGTGTGTGTGTGTGTGTGTGTGTGTTCACTGTCCCTCAGTTAAAATGCAACCTGATTCAGATCTCCAGTTACATAAGCAGCAGCTTACTGGTTTTGGGACTGGTCACGAGGCTCAGCTTTACCTCAGGGATTAAAACTCAAAACACAAGACCCCCTCCTGTGAGGAGACGACATGGATTAATCTCAGAGATAATCTGACAGGCAGCAGGAGCTTCACCTGGTCAGCGTTCATCCAATACGGCCTTTTTCTACGCCTCCAGATTCCCCCTTTTCTGCTTTCAAAATAAAACACAGAGCTTTCATTTTGAAGCCTGGCTTTTAGTGTTGGAGTTTTCTATGATAGGGGCATGCATTTAAACGACGGCAATGACGTTTAATGAACTGGATACAAGCAGAAATGGTGATTGAGGTGGATATGTGGTTAATTGTGCAGCAGTACACCTGGGCAGGTGAGAGCATCAAGCGTAAGGAGGAGAAAGGTAAAGGAAACACAGGGGAGACTTTTCACTGCAGCCCAGGGCTCTTATTTTGTAGGAGTGGTGTCAGCTGTTGTCACAAGACGATGCTGGGTGTGAGCTACGTGTCAGGTCTCTGTTTATCGCCACAGAGAAACGTTGGGTGAGTGAAGCCTGCAGGTAACAAACAGGAAGTCTCGTTAACTCTCTCTCTGTGTTTTTAGATAATTGCTCTTAATTGGGTGATCGTTGAGGCGTGAGATCCTTCTGAATACGTCCAAACGTTGAGGCATTTGGGTGAAGAAATAGAGGTTATACTTGGGGGAATAGTTCCCGTTAGGATAGGTGTTTGTTATCAGGGTCTAAACCTCCATTATAAGTTGATCTTCTCTTGACATGCAGACACACGTTTGATACTAGTGATAAAAGCATTCAACCCTTTTTAGAAGCCATGAAATGTGTTTTGAACTGCTCTCTTGCTGCGATGAGACTCTAACAAAGGGATCATTGAGTGATAAATACTTTGCTCCTGCAAGCCTGAAGGCGTTTGAACAATATTTCTACTATTTGAGGCCGTGTTCGTACAAATTAGGTCGTTCTATTAGCTTTCCTTATTCAATATAAATCAATTCATCTTACTCCTACTTAATTAAATATCATAACGTTTCTCAGAGCCCGAATTGACGAGCTTATATTGCTTTTATTATTGTTAATTTCATTGACTCGCGCTGTCAGGTCGGAGACTCTTAGGTTGCACCATGGAGAGAAATGAATAATGAATAACGAGCGCCGTGAAGAAACAGAAACCCTCTCGTCTCACATGCGTTTAGATTCAGGGAAATTAGTTTTTAAAGAGCAGTCACTGAGTATTTCATATAAGTTCTGCACGCCACACATTCACCTGCAGAGACTTACAGTAAGAGAGGGTCTTCTGCACCACAGGCTTCATTTACACAGCAGGAAACCACATCAGTATCCTTCTGTAAGGGTTGACCAATGTTCACCAAGTGCAGGGAGAACAATATATTACATGAAATGTCTAAGTCTATTTTTTTACAGACAGAAAATGGGTTTTTATTTCGCATTTTTAATCTAAAGGATAAACACGAGTGGGAAACAGCGCCCTCCTGTGGATAGAAGTGTCTCTACAGCTGAGAGTGAAAGAGTAAATTGAGGAACCCACCCTAAAAAAGGCTTTCAGATACCCCTCCCCGAGGTAGGACAAAGCACAGCAAGGTTTTTCATTACTTTAATATGTGTAGTTTATGAAACACATAGTTGTTTACAAATATTTTACTGCTAAAGTATTTTTTTGGGGACTTTGTAACCGAAAATAGTGAAAATAGGCTCCTCTGAAGGGGGCCGAGTTGGCCTTATCCCCTCTATCTCTGGATATAAATAATCATCATAATGTCATCAAATTAGGACTGGGTGTTCACAGAGAGGCAAAGCATAGAATGAAGTAAAGATTACATCAACACCTTTTACCATCTTTGTAATATTAACACCTAAACACACATGATCATATGGGCGGAAATGGAACAGGACATTTAAAACGCTTGTACATTTTAAACTAAGGATTCCAATCACCCACAAATGAATGTATGTGTACCAGAGACTGTTATCTTCACCAGTCTCTCACAGCTAACCAGTGACCCGTCAGACTGGTGAACCTGTGTGAGGGGAAGGAACAGAGCATAGGTTAACAGGTCAATATAAAAGACATTGTGCCTATAGGTGACCTTTAAGTTATTGTGTGTTTATCTGAGTTGTTAAACCTCGTTACCGTCAGAGTGATTGTTACGTTCCCTCCAAGTCTAGGGGTACCAAGGGGAGTAACAAAACACAAGGATGACCAGGCACGACAAAAAAAAGAGGAAAACGATCTATGAAGTCACGAGCAGGTCGTTTAATAGACAAGACAGGAACAATCAGCAGCTGGGGACAATCAGGAGAGAAAGAAAAACACACACACACACACACACACACACACACACACACACACACACACACACACACACACACACACACACGTAACAGTGATGAACAGTGACCTGGCTGTGAGAGAAACCCTGACGGATAGACTCTCTCCCTCCTGAGTCATGGTGACACTCCCTGTGTGTGTGTGTGTGTGTGTGTGTGTGTGTGTGTGTGTGTGTGTGTGTGTGTGTGTGTGTGTGTGTGTGTGTGTGTGTGTGTGTGTGTGTGTGTAAGCTGGTGTGCAGGCGGATCTGCTCCTGTAAGCTGCTGCTCTTACCCTGCATGCGTTAAGCTTTCATTACAGCAGAGATCTAGTGGGGGTTGTTGTGAATCTGCAGGAAAAGGAAAATCATTTCATGTTTTGTTTTCAACATCTACTCGTGTCTTCCGCTCTCTACCTGCAGAGCTGAGCATGCATGGATACTCAGGTTGCATTGAGACTGCTTATACTTTGGTATTTTGGTGCATGCATAGTCTTTATTTGTAACGCTGGAACCATCAATTGTTCATTATTGCTAAATCTGCAGGTTGTTTACTGTGTTACTGATTTGGAAATGTCTCGTCCGGCCGTCCAGAACTCAAAGATATTCACTTTAATGTTGATGAGCAACAGGTGTCCCTGTTTGAGACCCTGAAATCTGCATTTCCTGCATGAAAAAGTGCTTTATTTACTATAGAAATGACTTGCATTGAAGCAGCTAGAAAATATCAGAAAATATTTTAAAAAATGTCTCTCAAAGTACGAGGTGGTCTGTTTACATTTTAGATATTCATTTTAATATGATGTAAAACAGAGAAAACGCAGAACATCTCCAGCCTTTAAGGACATTTCTGCAGGAATAATGGCTTTGATGCATGTGGAGATCTATCTCACACACACACACACACACACACACACACACACACACACACACACACACACGCACACCTTGTGTTGGCGTTGCTCCGTTTCTTTGTTCCTGCAAGGGATGAGAGAAACTGCCGTGTGTGTGTGTGTGTGTGTGTGTGTGTGTGTGTGTGTGTGTGTGTGTGTGTGTGTGTGTGTGTGTGTGTGTGTGTGTGAATAATGGAAGAGGATTGATTGCCTGCTCTCACGTGGCGCTCGATCGTCCCACAGGAGACTCTCCCTCTCTCTTTGTTGTGTGTATTATTTATGTTTTATATATTTTTTTACCTTTTTAAAATGCGGTTCTGCTCAGTATTCCGTCTTCATTATTCCTGACAATGAGGGACCTTTTAGACCGTCTGCGACATTAGAGTTCTGTAGTGCTTTTAGTTCCTGTACTTGACAATGACGGACCTTTCAGAACCCTTAGACGGACATATATGCTGAAAAACCCATCTCCTTTTAAAGATCTTTCAAAATAAAAGCATGTAGAACTGCGTTCTGAAGCTTTACTTTGAAACTCTGAGCTGCAGAAACAGCCGTCAGCTGTGCTTCAAGGAATGTGAGACTGCACATTGTTCGGATGCTTCTCCTCGGTTCCCTGAAGCCCTCGTTGTTCAGCCATGTGACCCGACCTGCTCTTCCTCCTCCAGACAAAGCCTTCGAAGACGATGACTCGGGGGACGGCGGCCGCTCCTCTTCCTCGTCCAGAGGAGGGAAGAAGAGTCTGAGCATGGGTTCCTTCAGGAGAACCGGATCCAGCAGCAAGTCTGCAGGTCAGAGGCTCCACATATATCTGTATCTGATGCTGTTGGGGAGGGGGTTGTTTTGGGGGTTACTTCCACATGCACGGCATATTTAAAAAAAACTTTTCTGAAGCTGTGGCAACGAGGGGAGGTCATTCTGTCCACTTCCCTCGCTCCTTATCTGTATTTCACCTCACGCTTGGTGCACAATGGCTTTAAATGTGCAGGTAACACGATGCACGAAGGTACAAAAGAAGCAGCTTTGTGTTTTATGTATTATTTGTATTTAATTTATACACATTTTCTTTGAATTCAATTATGTCTTCTCTTTATTTTATGCGTGTTTACTAGTTATTATATTTCACTAAACCTACTTTTTATTCATTTTAATTCAGCTTTTTATTTTCATCTCTGTTTAGAATTTGTATTTATTGGCACTTTATTTGATCTATTCATGCTTTTTCATTTATGAATCTTTATGTAAGATAAACTCTGCACAAAATGCATGAAATGAAAGTGCAAAAGGCTCCCATCTCCCTTTTTCACCTAATGACACGTTTGGAAACGCAAGGATTCAAGTCTGGTTTATATTTGAATGATTTCATATAAAACCCCCACTGTAAATGTTAATGTGTAAAACAGGGCGGGACGGCTCCGCAGCTGGAGCGGTGGACGACGAGGACTTCATCCAGGCCTTCGAGGACGTCCCCACGGTGCAGGTGAGGAGTCTTTGGTCCAACAACAAACACAGTAAACTACACAGGATAGCTCCTTTAAAGTGTGCTTCCTCCTATCCTCCTGCAGATCCACTCCAACAGGGAGGTGGAGGAGAACATGACGAAGATCCGGGACGTCCTGTCTGACGATAAGAAGGACTGGGAGCTCCGGGTGGCCGCGGTACGTCTCTTTATATTATATTATGTGTTTCCTGGTTGTTGTTTATGTAGTTCCCGTATTTTATGTAGTTCGTGTAGTTCCTGATGAACAAAGGTTTGCTGGTTTATGTAGTTCTTGTAGTTCTCGGGTCTTGGTGTTTCCTGGTCGTGACTCTCTTGATGTAGTTCTTGTAGTTCTTGTAGTTCTCTGGGTCTTGGTGTTTCCTGGTCCGGACTCTCTTGATGTAGTTGTAGTTCTTGTAGTTCTCTGGGTCTTGGTGTTTCCTGGTCCGGACTCTCTTGATGTAGTTCTTGTAGTTCTTGTAGTTCTCTGGGTCTTGGTGTTCCTGGTCCGGACTCTCTTGATGTAGTTCTTGTAGTTCTTGTAGTTCTCTGGGTCTTGGTGTTTCCTGGTCCGGACTCTCTTGATGTATTTCTTGTAGTTCTTTTAGTTCTCTGGGCCTTGGTGTTTCCTGGTCCTGACTCTCTTGATGTAGTTCTTGTAGTTCTTGTAGTTCTCTGGGTCTTGGTGTTTCCTGGTCCGGACTCTCTTGATGTAGTTCTTGTAGTTCTCGGGGTCTTGGTGTTTCTTGGTCCGGACTCTCTTGATGTAGTTCTTGTAGTTCTTGTAGTTCTCTGGGCCTTGGTGTTTCCTGGTCCTGACTCTCTTGATGTAGTTCTTGTAGTTCTTGTATTTCTCGGGTATTGGTGTTTCCTGGTCCTGACTCTCTTGATGCAGTTATTGTAGTTCTCTGGGTCTTGGTGTTTCCTGGTCCTGACTCTCTTGATGTAGTTCTTGTAGTTCTCGGGGTCTTGGTGTTTCTTGGTCCGGACTCTCTTGATATAGTTCTTGTAGTTCTCAGGGTCTTGATGTTTCCTGGTCCNAAGTGGTGGAGAGACAATGCACAGTTTGACCCACTGCTGTCACCCATGGCCAAAGCATATCTCTCTGTCCCAGCAACATCAGTACCAAGCAAGAGAGTTTTTTCCACAGCAGGGGATATTGTAAACGCCCAAACATCCCAGCTTCTACCTGGAAATGTGGACATGCTCATCTTCCTAAAAGATAACTTGATGATGCTGAGTTAGTGAGTTAGAGTTGAGTTACTTGAAAAAAGTTAAACTTGATTTATTCTATTGCAGGGTCTGATTATTATATTGTTGACACTTTAAAATACTACTATCCTACTAAAATACTGTACAAATCAGATTTATTATTTAATAAAAAAGAAAATCAAATTTTTTTCCTTTATTTTTCAATATTGCGATAAATATCGTACCGTGGACTTTTTATCGCGATATTGTCGTACCGTGAGTTTTTGGTATCGTTACATCCCTAGTAATTGATATTGAAATTCTCCTCTTGGGGGTGAAATATTCCTTTAAGTTGATCATGATGCACATCAGCATCGTTTGTAAGGTTAAATGAAGCTATCGTAATCCGGTTTGAATTCAACGGAAGAGCAATTTCACCAGTAAAACAATGAAAACAATGCCTTATAGAAAAAACGATTATTTTTGTATTATTATTATTATTATTTTTTTAATTGGTTTTTCAGTTGAGTTATACTTAAAGTTCAGAGTCATCAACTGTTAAAAACATACTGTTCACATTTCTCAATAAATGGATGTTTTCAAAGTAAATGGATAATCGTTTTTAATAATCGTGATATCAATTATTGACCCAAATAAATCGAGATTATGATTTTTGCCATAATCGCATAGCCCTAGCACAACTCCAAAAGGCCACATATTTACACACGTCATACGAAGCAGCGTTCTGAGGGAAGGGACAACCACAGGAGTGATGGAGAGGGTTACTCACGGTGAAGAACAGATCCATGACGCGGGTGTCCAGCAGCGCTTCCCTCCAGGTCTCCGTGGGCTTCAGCATGACGTTCTGTGTGGCCTCGAACATGGCGATGTAGTGGCGCCCCAGTGAACCGCCGTCAGTTAAGGCCAACAACAGCATGAGGAGGAGGAGGAGGAGGAGGAGGAGGAGGAAGAAGAACAGGAGGAGGAGCGGCAAACACAAACACACCAGCTCCTGTCACTGAGCTCTGGGTATTTACGTCTCTGAGGCTGTGGTTCGTCTGGCAGCAGGAACTCTGCCTCTCATTAATGCTGCCACTCTGAAATCCACAATAGCCTTTTTTTAAGACTCGCCCTCCCTGCTTTGTTCTTCTCTTTCCCCCTTGTCAGCTCTTTATTAACCACAGAGAAACTCAAGCCTCGTTTCTCACCTCCTTCCCCGATCTCACTTCCCTTGTCCCCTTCTTCACCTCTCCTTCCTTCCTTCCAGCACTCGGCTTTTTCTCCTCTGCTGCTTCCTCACAAGATCTTTAAAAGCTCACTCTAGCTGCTCTGCCTCTTTGTCCACTCCTCTTCAAAAATCAAGACGTCCTCGAGACTCCTTACTGCCTTGAAACACTCCCCCACTGCCTCCTCAGCCAATCACTGTGTCTCTCCTCCTGACTGCTTTCCAAGACTCTTGTTTCCCTTGTAACACTTGTATCAATCTCTCCTCTCTTTCCCCTCTTGTCTACTTTCCCATGTGTCTTTATTCTTTGTCCTTGACCACGCTTTAAAGCCTTCCTTTGTTCCGGTTTGTCTTTTCTGCTTAACAAGTCTTTATTTCTGAAAGCCGCCACAACACACACACTGACTTCTTATTTAAGACTTTCTCCGCTCGCCCACAACAAGTTTTTTTACAAACCCACAACACACACTTTCTCCCCACGCAGCCGCAAAGCACTTCCTGTCTTTATTCAAGTCTCTCAAACACACAACATGCTGTTCCCATAGCTCAAGCACTCCCACTCTCCCAAACGAGGCTTTTCTCACTCCTCACCCAAGCTTTCCTCAATCAAAACATCTTACAACCACACTCTTCACACACAAATCAACATTTCAGCACCTTCCCCAAAGAGCAAAACTATTGTCCTCCTTGTTCTTACCACACATTCAATCTCCTGATGAAGGTTTGATGACTACACAAATCAGCAGAATTCTCATGTCAGATAAATGTACCGTACTCTAAATGTCATTTCTCCTGACTACACAATACAGGAGCAGGATACAGGGATTCTTCTGACAAACCAATTAAACGTAACCGGTCCATTTCTTCAGCTCTAATCCGAAGTCTTCAACTTTATATCAAATGGAAATATTTGAGACTTGACCTAATAATCTAATATCAGTTCAAATTAAGTTTACATTACAGTTTATATACAATTAAGAGACCACTGCAGCATTCTCAGTTTCTCTTGTTTTACAATCAATATGTATGCGTTTGAGAACAAATATGTTTTTATTTGATTCTATAAACTACTGACAACGTTTCTCTGTGTTGGAATTGAACAAACAGTGAAATGAAATGGCTGCCATATATGTAGAGATTGAGATTTAAGAACATTTGGATTGGTCACTTCATTTTCCCCAGAGCTGTATATATTACTATTACTCACCAGGCTATGATGTTTGACTTTACATATTACAATCATATATCTCAGCTGCTTTACTTTGTTAGGTCTTAGATCTCATTAGATTTGTTCCATTTCTGAGAATTTTCTTTACAAATATTTGTATCTGAAAGAGCACAGTAAGTGAGAAATAAAAATATTATACCAGACTTTTTTGGGTATATTTGAAAACGTTTGAATCTCCAATAAAAATATAAATAAATGATGTGGGATTGTTTGCGAGGTGTTTTAAGCGTTTAAGCAGGGATTATTTTATTGTCCCTAATCAGGATATTGGATGGAAGAATTTAATTAAAAAGTCCTACTGCCAGATTTAATATTTTTTCGTTTCTTTGTGGAAGCTTGTTTCAGCATGTTATACTCAGTAAATGTTTCCTTCTTCTGCTTGCTTGTAAAACAAATCTAATAATTCAAAATGACACCCATCTCGTTTTCCATCACCGGCATTAAACTCATAAAATAAAAAAAGGCACTCACAACCGGATCGTTGGCCCGTGGCTCGGTGACAGCAGAAGGGGGGAAACTTCTGGAGGAATGTTTGATCAAAGCCAAACAGCGGCAGAGGCCGGAGAGGTCGAGCATTCCTCCGACCCCCCCCCCCC